CTCTGTGCAGAAAGCAGGATGTGCCTGGGCACCTGCCCAGCTCCTTTGCCCGGATTTGTCCCACATAACTGTAGGCACTGAGCAATGTTCCACAGTCTCATCACCTTACACCCCCCTGAATCATGAGAGAGAGAGGTAGTACCTCCTTGGGCACGGCAGAGCTTGGGTGGACTGCACTGACCTCTCAGGATGTTTATTTTTGTTCATCAGCTTAATTGTTGAATTGTTGAACTTGGCTTTATGCAAGCGCAAAGGGATTTGCTGTGTGCCTTTACTGACTTGCAAAGCCAGTTCTGCTGGTAGGCCCCCAGCAAGATGCTGGAAAGCAGCACAAACACACTCCAGAAGACTGTACTTCTAAAGAGAGGCGTTGAAGTCAGTCATGTCACAGCAGAGCTTGTTGCCAAGAGGCAAGAAATTAAAGCAAGGATGGAAGCTGCGTCCCAGCGGAGGGCAGAGCTGGCCGCCAAGCGCAGCAAGATGTAAGCATCCTTCTCACTCTGTGCTAGGAGGGAGAGCCTTGGCAGCAGGGTTTAGTCCTGCCTCATCCCTCAATGACCCTCTTCTGGTTGTTCATGGGGAGTGTTTGCACATTCACACATGTTGCAAGCAGTAGGAAATTTAAGCAGCAGGCATAGTCCATTGGGGAAAGGGAAGAGCTGCAAACAATAGTCTTTCTCCAAGGGAGAGTAGTGTGCTCGCTGTCTCTCTCCCTTTCTCACAAGTGCACGTCCCGCATGCAGTGGCAGGAGTGACTTTCGTATTTTACCATCATCCGTGATTCAGTGCTGCAGCCTGCATAGACTGAAGCCTAGGTCTTTGCCTGTGCTGTAAAATCCTTTGGGTTAGGTTCAGCAATGACACTGGGGCCAATTATTACATGAGCGTCTTCCCCCATACTCCATTCCCAGTGTTGGAATTGATCTGGTTTGGGACTTGATCTGCTGGAAGCTAAGAAGTCTATCCAGGACACTAGATAATCCGGCAGTTAACCAAGGCCCTGAATGGGGTGCCTCATCCACCTGTTGAATGCACCATTTCATTTCTTTTGTGCCAGAACAGGAATCAAGCTCTTAAGTTTGATAAGTTTTTTTAAGGCTAATGGTGTGAAGAGGAAATGAGCAATCCAATGTACCAAACAGAAATAGAGTTGAATGAAATGACAGAGGGATAGAAAAATAAACTGGTAGCAGAGCTTGAAAAATTGAGACTCAGGTAAGGGCTAAGCTCCCCCTGCCACAATATCAGACTGTGTAACACAGGGCTGCCTCTGTCTGCACACGGTCTCATCCAACTTCATGCATCTCCGTTGTTCCAATTATTCACTTAATAAAACAATTTAGCATGATAGTACAGTATTGGTAATAGGAGCAATGTACTAAAAGGGACCCATTGCATCTTTAAGTCTTGTCCCCTGCTGTTGTTAGTAAATATTATGTATAATCCTCATTCAGAATATAACAAGACCCATCAAAAAAGAGCAAGGAAATCTGGGCTAGACACAGTAAGGGGCTGCAAGAACTGCTGAGCTGGGCAATGCAAATCCTGATCTATAGCCAAAGGGGACTTGAGATTTGGGAGCTCAGGTTCCTTCTGCAGTCAGAGGGGATTAGCCCCTGTTATCTAGCCTGGCTGTCAATAAAGAAGCTGTGTAAAAATGTGGATAGTGGAGCACTGCCTCCCCCTCCTCTAGTCATGTTTAAAATACAGTGACTCTTGAATATTGCTAGGGGCTTGGACCTGACAGCCTGCTGCAACCCCACAGTGAGGATCCCTCCAGATTTAACCCCCAGGACATCAGCTGGTGATCAGCCACTTCTGATGGGGCTCAGGTGTGAGCAAAAACATGAAGCTGCTCAGCCTGAGCAGTGGTGGTTGCATGGGGACACAGAGCTTGCAGCTCCCAGGAGACTCAATGCCTATGGGAGAGTGCTGAGCAATTTAGGCACCTCCAGCATTAGAGGGCTTTCAAGAGGCTGTAGCTTGCAATGACAGTATGCAAAGGGATGGTGTCCAGCATGGCTCTAGCCCCAGCTCCCGTTACACCCAGTGATATATTGTTCAAGACCTCTCTCCTCTGATTACAAACTTTCTTTAATTGTCTCATGGCCCTTTATTTCTTTTGCTGCCAACTCTTGTCCTTAAGCTTAACTGGCTCTTGGTTCTCGCTGGTGTTATGCTCTTGCTTTATTTATAGAAAGCACTGATTTCCACTGTGGGATACTTTCTCACTAGCATTAATCCAGCCAAGTTCCCCTTGTCCCAGACAGGCTCTTGGTTCCCCTGCTCTGCTCAGCTCTCTCTGCCTGCACCTGTCTGGTCCGAGTCTGCCTTTCATGAACACTGCACACAGTATTTGGGAGTAGATCTCATTAACGTCTAGTACCACAGGATGTTAATACTTGCTATTATTACGTATTATGATTATTAGCATTCCTATTATTTCAGGAGGCCATTGGGAGGCTGAACTGTCAGAACTGCCAGATTTCCCCCTCAAAGGATAGTTGTTTTTATATACTCCTCCGACGTCATGGAAATCCTCTTCGTGTGGCATAGCACAATTAAAAGCTCCTTTGACACCAAAGGATCCCTTTAACAACATATTTCATTCTCACTGTTTGAACTGACTCTTCTAAAATAGTCTTGTGTATTTCTTAATTTTCTTTGCGGGCAGCAAAAGCTAGAGAGGAAAGTTGCTAAATACCAAGTATATGAATATTTCCTACTGAAAACCGGTGACAAATTGCCTGACAGTAAGTGTTACTCTAAGGCACCTGCTGGCTCTTTTACTGTAATAACAGCAACTGTTGCCTCTCTTTGCTCATGAACTGTGGTCCAGTAAGTGCAGTCACCAGCAATCAGCTGTGCAGAGAGGTGTGCTGGTGGTGTAGCTGGCAGCTGATGGCAGGAATACCAGGGAGAGAGTCAGATGCACTTTCCTGGGGGTGAGCCTGTGTGTCCGGTCAGCACTGTCAAGCTGTAGGTAGAGGACAAGGGAGCCATATCCCTTCTATAATAGCTGTAGCCCAGTTTGACTGTGGAATACGCATAGCCTTATGGCTGGGAACTAGGAGCACACACTTCTCCAGCTGATACCAGCACAAGGGACAGAAATCTTCTTCAACTGACCAATACAACTGTGCTTAGGAAGAAAGTAAGTCAGGACGGCATAGTGCAGCTTAGCAGCATCACAGCAATTAATTGATAATGTTGTCTGCTCAGGAATTGGGTTAGGCCAAGATGACATGAAGTTGCTGAAAGGATTCACAAAGTATGTGTTTCATTTCTGCCTTGCTGAGTTTGTCTACTGTTGAAGGAGGGTCTAAAGCATGCCTCTTGCACAGGGAGCTCTTAGACCTGCAGACTCCAACCATGTACCGCAGTCAGCAGGGCTGCTGTGCTTGAGGAAGAGGGCAATGATGCTTGGGTGGCTCCACCACACTATCACTGCAAGCACAGACTGGACTGAAAGTGGCTATAAGCGCGCTGAGCCTCCTGACCCCCTTGCTTCCCATTTCCATCGTTGGCTGTTAGCTCTATTGTGCTCCTGGCTCCCCACAACCATACAACACTCAGGTAGAGCCAACCTGAAGAAACCTGCCTGGACAAATTGCAGCCTGTTGGCCTTGCTTAGCACTTTTCTCAGACCACACAGGCACATCCCCAGCCCCCAGGACTTAAGTTTTGACGATGGTTGGATTCTCTCCCTCCAGGCGACTGTGGACCTTGCCCTAAAATGACTCTAGAGCACATGCTTGCATGGGAGCAGTGTGGATGGGAGACAGCTCTGAACTTCTGCTTCCAGCCTTCTGTGAGTGACACAGTCTGTTTTTCTCCACTTATTTATTAGCGGATTAGAGTTGCAGTAGAAGAGGCTCCAGACTGTTTTATAGCTCAACATTTTTCCGCAAATTGGTTGTGACCCCTGTAGTCCCATGCAAGGCAACCAAGAGGGTTGTGATATGTTGAAACATTTATTACACTATAAAATGAATACAGTCCTGCTCCCTGACCCCCCCACATGTCTAAGGTCAACTATACTCTGTCAGCTTCTCCAAACAAGCAAGTCAGTCCAACAAGCTTTGATACTTTTTTCTCCTGCTTTTATAACAAATATACTGGGGTCAAGGGAATATTTGTGTTAGAATGAGGGGGCCACCACCCAGTGGAGGCTGTTAAACATAGATCCAGCTTGCAGAAGGCTCATTTGGTGTAGATAAACCCATTTGTGTTTTAATGATGTATTTAAACACTTGGGTGATTTTCTTTTAAGTAAATTCACTGATGTGTTGTTTACATACAGGTAAAGGACCTGTCTATCATTACCAGTCTCTAATCCTGCAGAGTTACACATACCTTGCAGTGCATTAAATGTACTTTCTTAAATGCATCTTAAATCCTACCTTTCAAACATTCCAGGTCTTTGGGTTTTCAGCCCAGTCTCAGTCTGAAATGATAATTCTGCACCAAAAGGTTTATCAGCATGAGCTATTCAGCACCTAGTCAGGTGTTAAGCCTATAAATAGTTTATCTCTTGCCAACATTTAGACCTTGAGCCATGAAAAGTCACTGGCTTGCTTTCACTATGAGGTCAAGTCTGCTTGAAGGAATAGCCTGTTTAAAGGACACAGAAGTCCCCATGCAGACTTTTAAAAAAACACAAACCACCAAAGCAAAAAATGCCCACAAAAACCAAACCAAAACCCAAAGCAAACAGGTTCTCTTAAAACCCCATTTCACTCATTGGTGTGAAGTCTCACACTGGATTAATTTCCGCGTTGGGTCGCTACAGACTCTGGCTGTATTAATTCTCTATTCATGGAGCAACACCTTACTTGGTGAAGAGTTTCCCTCCTTTCCATCCTTATCACCATGTTTTCCAGAAATTAGATTCCCTGGGATTACAAGCTTAGAGCCCTCAGTAGTAGAGGTATGAAGTCCAATACATTTCCCTTACAAAACCTGGAAATGAAATCACTTCAGCCACCTTGTTTTCTTACCTTTCCACATTCTCTGAGTAAAACAGGGCTATTTCCTTTTGTTGGACATCCACCAGGAGAGGTACTTTACATAATTTTCTCACACCTCAGACTAGCTGATGCTTTGGACTCAGCAGATCAAGCGGCGGTCTCCACTGTTCAGGCAGGGGTGGGGAAGGAGGCACGGAGCGTTTTCTTCCTAAGGAGTCTGTTTCAAGCCTCTTCAAAGTTGCAGGGAAAGAACCTGAAAATGTGAAACTCCCACATTTAAAACTGGCAAGCACAAAGAACTCCCAATTTTATTTTTGGAATTCATGATTGTTGAGATGACCTCCAGATGCAGTAGAGGGGAGCAAGCTGAGTGCTGAGATATGAGTGCTCCTAACTAGTCATCTTGAATTGATTCCCACTGCTAGACACACTCCCCAGCAGTAAGATTAGGCTGTTATGCAGAGGTCCTGGTCCTTCATGGATTTTGTAAGGTGTAGGCACTTCCTCAGAGGTCCGTGAGCAGTCAGAATAACATATCCTGAAGGAAGAAATCTGACATCAGTAGGATTTGGCCCCTACCATGCAAAGAAAGGACAATAAGGTATATATGATAGATGGTAGGTGGCACCTATATCCACTTTGTGGTCCATTTCCCTTGTGCCCTTCTACTGATTATTTGGAACATGGTGGGGACCCCCTGGTGAGAGCTATCATCAGGAAGCACGAGACTCTTTCAGCTACAAACCAGAACTTGATAAAGAATTTAGTCATCCTGTCAGATGACTACAAAAAAAGCCAGCATGACCTTGAAGCCTTGCTATGGGAACATGATACCACAAAAATAGTAATGTTATTAAGCATATTATTTATGGTTTATAGGGCGGTATTTAGGTCAACAGAGTCACACCACCTAAAAATCAAAGTCTTTGTGGTGCTGAATGCCACCTTCTTGCAAGAAATCCTTAGGGCCCAGACTCACATATAACAGCTGAAGAGGGGAATGTTTCTCCAGCTATTGCTGATCGTAAATATAAAATATATCCCCCTCATTTGACCAGGCTAGAAAAAAATCCCTGTTGTCAAATGAGTGGTGTCTGTGGCCACTGCACAGCCTGGATTCCTCCCCTGTTGGAAGTCTCTCATGGATATCAAGTGGGTTCCTGGAGGAGGGCCAAGTGCAATCCAGGCCACAGCAATACACAGATGTGGTGACTGAAGCCTCATTTTGAGCCATGTTTACAAAATGTTGCTGCTAAAGCTGATTTCTATGGTTAAAAGATTACTCCTGACATTTTTGGTTAAATCAATCATCCTTATTCATTATTTTAATTGGGATAAATTGAGAAATCATGCCCTTACTGGGAAGAGAAAGCAGTCCCGCAAAAGCCTGTCTCCTCAGATGATCACCCTAGATCCAGTACTCCAGGCCAGGTCCCAAGGAGGCTCAAGTGGCACCCACTGGGCTTGGGCTGCACCCAGGCGGCACTCCTCCCAGCGCCGACCTTTCTGCTTGGCAATGGCCGAGTGCTGACGCAGGAGCTGCTCGAGGTTTACCTCGGCGGGGGGGGGGGGGGGAAAAAGGGGGGTAAAAGAAAAGGGGGGGGGGGGGAGAGGAAGGGGGGGGGAGGGGAGGGGAAGGGAAGGGATGGTCAGCCTAGCCTTGTCCTGGACACTTGTCCTGGCCCCGTCCCAGAAGCAGGCTTGGTAAATTTGCAAAGACACACTTATAGACTTGGAAAGCCATTTGGTAACTGGAAGCCGTCACAGCTGGCCACCTCTCTGCAAGTGAGAGGCACAACAAGATTTCTGCTTTCTTCATTCTTCAT